CAAAGCTCCAGTGCAGCCAGGTAGAATCTAGGAGACAAACATCATTTGCACAATTCAACATAAGAACAATGCTATTGTTTCTTCTTCTTCCTCAAGAGTGGATTTTGATACTGCAAGGCTATGCAAGTGCAGGTCTACAGGACTTGTAGGTCCCTTTCAGTGCTCATCTGACCAACTGAGGGCTGACCAAGTTCAGGCATATCATTAAAGGCATTGTCCAAACGCTTCTGAAACACTGACAGGACTGGGGAATTGACCACCTCTCTGGAAGCCTGTTCCAGTGTCTGACCACTCTCTCAGTAAAGAAATATTTCCTAATCATAGAATCATTAAGGTTGGAAAAGACCTCCAAGATCGAGTCCAACTTTTGCCTGAACACCAACCTGTCAACTAAACCATCCAGTTGTTTCTTGAACATCTCCAGGGATGGTGACTCCAACATCTCCCTGGGCAGAGGTCATTTTCTCTTGTCCTGTCACTTCTTACCTGGGAGAAGTGATCAACCCCACCTGGATACAACCTCCTTTCAGGTAGTTGTAGAAAGTGATAAAATCCTCACGGAATCTCCTTTTCTCCAGGCTAAATATCCCCAGCTCCCTCAGCTGCTCCTCATATGACTTATCCTAGACATTTCACCAGCTTCATTGCCCTTCTCTGGACATGCTCCAGCACCCTGTCCAGCCCAAACAGCACCTTTGAGACATTCTTATGTGTCCTGTCACCCCTCCTTTCTTCTATTTGTTGCTTACCAAATTCACACACAATTTTGAGATATTTTCTTTGCATTTTTGTTGTTTATGGACACAGGTAAAGAATTAGCAAGATGGCAGATTACTCATTTTACAGACCTCAAGAGCATCATCAGTGCTTTTCCTCAAAGACATTGTGATATACATGATATGTTCATCAAACAGATAAAACAGTCCTGCCAACAATGGAGAGGAGACAAGACTGAAAAAAGAAAAGCAGAAATCACAGCTTGCCACTGCTTAATAAGTGCTATTTGGAGTAATCTCTTGCCTCTGTCATTAATAAGCAATCTGTTACAGCAATAAAGGAATTTGTCAGGTATTATTTTTACAAACAGGCCTAATTCTATACCAGCTTCTACGTCCTTCTGTCAGAAAATTTGTGTACATACAGTAGGAAATAAGAGGGGCTTCAAGACATAACATTATGGAGAAAGCAGTGGCATTAGGCATTATGTTGAATTAAGCTGGATGATGGATCCATCTTTAAATTGTTTGATTTTACATGTTTCTCAAGAAAAAAAAAAACAGGTAATATAAAGAAAGTGCTAAGGATAGCAAGAAAAAGCAAACTGTTATTCCTAGAGCTGGAAAGTTAATGTTTATCATTCTCAAGATTTAGACCTTCGCTAATTTATAACTTAATTTAGTTACCAATACATGTAGAAGACTAACGCTAAGGATCAAGAAATTTGTGCTGCAATGAAACAAATACAATTGCTATTTTTTTCTAGATTTCAAAGTACAAAGGACCATTTTGCAGGCTCTCTATGCATCTATGGAATCACCTTCTGACTGCTCATCAGAGAACTTGAAAAATTAGGGAAGTAATTACATCAGGCAATGAGGTACTCTAAGCATTTATTGTTAAAAACAGAACTACTCATCAGATGATTGAAATTAACATTTATTTCAGCTGTCAGATTTGATTAATCTCTAACATCATTCTTATTCAACTTTGGACACCTCAGAAGCAGCCAGATTAAAGCAACATAGCTCTACTCAGGTCAGCAGCCATGAGATTTTTGCCCCTGAGAGGATGGGCCTGAGATACTCAGCAAGAACTTCAAACAGCCACAGAATTACATGTCAAATATGGTGCTTTGGTTCCCTAGCTCAGGAGGTGGCATTTTTTCACATTTTTGCACAGATCACTAGAAACAAACATCATCCCTACTATCTAAAGGATCCAAAGCAGTTATGTTTCTACAAAAAGGTCTCTTAAGCTCAATTTTCAAGCTTGCTATTTGGTTTTGATTTTATTGACACCTTCTACTGGGATAACATATCTTCTCTAAGCTTGCATGGATCACTAACATCAGAATTCCAATACTGGATGTATCAACCATGGAGACCTGGGAAGTGCTGCAACCCATCGAACAGGTTTGCTTTCACTCAGAACATCTTAAACAGTAATATCACCAGTTTTCAACCAGCCTAATGGGTTTTGCCAAGCAACCACTTTATTTACTTTATTTAAACTTGATGCAGACGTGGTGCAGATTGATGCAAGAGAAGTTTCTCTAGGGCTCAAGGGTAGGAACTCTCTTCTCCTGAGACAATATGTGCCCTTCCCACACAATGAAGGGAGTTTTGAAGAGAGTATGGCCTAAAGTAAAGGTTACTGTCACCAGAGAACATCTCTCCTATCACTGGTCCAGCAGAGTGGATTTCAGAAGAATCTATTGCTCACATTACAGAAAAAAAAAACACCTCAAAACATTACCTGACATTTCACGTTTAATAATCAACACAGCAGCTTAGAAGTTTAAAAAATTACCAGTTACTGGCTTTGAAAGAAAGGTTTACTGCAGGATTGACTTTTTTAGCCCATAAGACTTGTTGAAGGCAAAGAAAACTTTGCCTTTTGGCAGCTTGACAAAGTCAAACTTGAGTCCGCAAAGTGCTCTACATGAAACTGTTGTTGTCATCAAAGGATACTGTCATTAACTGCTACATGAAAGCCACATTTTCACTTATTTTGCAAGCTGAGAAGGCTCATAGTGTGTACATAGATATATATATGTATATATACACACCCCTTTGGCTAAATTCTACTCTTGGAAGTATTTTTGCCTAATCATTGACTGCTTTTGTGAGTCTAGGATGAAAATTTGTTGCACTAGTTAAGTGAAAAGCAAAGGCCATGCTGTTTTGGAAAGCTCACACACCAAAGGAAGTGTAACACACACAAAGACTTACCTGCTTACACTTCTGCTAAAAGACAAGATAAATAATTATGCTAAGTATATCTAATGTTGATGTAGGTGCATATCAAGCAAATACAGTGTTAATATCTTATTGTTTGCAATAGAATTAGCAGTTTAAAACCAAGATCCATAAATATACCATGCTCTGTGCTCCTCCAATGAAGGTCACATTTTGAATAATTAAATACTACATTTCTGCTCAAGAATGAGGACAACTCTTAAATGAATCCTACTAGGTAGAACTGCACACAGAAGATGAGATGATCAGTGAAAGAGGTGAAAACTGGCAAGTTTGACTTTAGAACCATAAAGCTACATGATATGATGTTTTGATTTCATTTTTACATGGCACCTTTTAACTTTATATTACATCTATAATTTTTGGCCTTATATATTCTGTACATTTGAGGTTTATTACAAATATTCAGAAATTAAAAATTATGCATACTTTATCTATGGTCAGCCTTAGAACATAAAAATCATTAATTTAGGAATATTCAGTTGCAAGATCATTCTGTTGACATCCACATCATTAGAAATTAATGATTTAATAGTATATTACTTTAAATCTCTCCCTACTTTAGGTGGTTTTTTTGCATTTGTGCATTTGGTGAGCTTTCTGCTATTCTTTTTCTTACTTTCCCCACAAGAGAGAAATGAACTAATATGAACTAAAACCACAAGTATAGTTTGCAAGGTGCACTACACAAAACAACATAAAATACCTCATTTTTTTTCATGCACTAAACAGTAGAAATAAGATTAGAACTGGTTTTTTTTAATGTAAAACCCTGTGTTTGTACCACAATGATTAAAAAAAAAACCAGACAAAGCCAAACCAAAACCAACCAATTCGAATAGAAAAATTTATAATTCTGATCTGAAAGCAGATCCAAAATATAGCATGTTGGGAAACTAAAAGCACCAGGATATCCAGTAGGAAGGCAGAGTATAGTTACTATAGATGTAGCAGACACATCGTCTGTATGAGTTACCTGGAGAGAAAGTAACCATATGATGTGAAAGAAAACATCTTGAAACCAATCATTCTGTACAATGGAATCATTGCTTTCAAATTCATCCTGAACACCATTGTTGATATTTTTCCCTATCCGAAGGCAAGCAACAATTTTTGTTGTTTCTTTTCTTTCCTTCAGTCTCAGATATTTACTTGAGCTGACTCAAGAGCTCTACACACCATCATCATTTGTACCAGTTTCTGCATGTGAGATAAAGTATTAGTATGATACCTGGATGCTCTGGTACATCCAGGCCTTGCTCTATGTTTTAATGCTCTGCTTTACATTTGAAATTTACTCTAGAATCCTCATCCCCAAAACTGGACATGTACATTACAGAGCAAAAGAGTGAAGGTCACTCAAGATCCTGCCAAAACACAATATGGAGGTGTCCTGCATGAAGATACTATCATACTTATTTCAAGAAATACATATTTGCTAAATTAAGTAAAAGCAACAATTCAGCAACTGCAGTGAACTACCTGATAACGGGCATTTTCTGTCCTGGATAATTTAGAGACCTGCAGCATCTCCTCAATAATTTTACTTTCATATTTGTGAAACATTGTTTCCTTAAAAGTGCACCTGCTTTATAAAAATATTATACATAATGTAGCCTTTCTATTTTCAGGTTGTATCTACAAATGATGACTTAATTTATGTTTCCAATCAATTCATATTAGAAGTGTTTCAGAGCTTAAACTGATGCAGAATTCTACAAAGTATAAAACTACCTGCAAAGCTCAATCTCAGGAACTCTGTCAGCTACCTTAAAATGTAAAACAATAAAGACACAGAGCTGTGTGCACGGTGCTGATTTTTCCAAGTGTCTTGAATACTTCTGTTAACCTTGAGGCTAAACTTGCATTTTGTAGAAATGTTCACGTTTAGTTAAATAAGATCAAACTCGTAATCACTTCAAGTGCAGCCAGCCAAAGAATAATACTTTTATTTAGTGACAAGTCTCCCTCACTATTCATGAGCATTTATATTATCAATTAAAGAGCTGTTGCTCCACTTACTGTGCCACATCGGATACAGCTGGCAGGGGAGACTCTTCCGATACAAGGTCAATGTCATCAGTGAAACTGTTGGCCCGTGACATGTCTTGGGTGTTCCCTTCTAAATGTCCTTTCACTGCACAAAGAATTCAAAGAAATCATAGTACATTAGGGAGACAACATACACAAGCTCTTGCCATGCCTTGAGATACTGTGCAGCAGATTAAAGAAATGGCTCTAATATGAGACATATTTCTTTTTCATCAGAATCAGTAAAGTCAATGCTTACAATGTATGCCATACAAAAATACTTATGTGCATATATACAGTTCAAACACAGAGGAACCTCTTACAAGAAAGGCTTGTCTTCTTGAGGGCTGTCTCCCTGTGAACACAAATTCACTGTATCCACAAATATCAACGTGGGTATAACGATAGAAACAATCAGCCTTTCATTTCCTCTCTACCATTTGATACATATGCTTTAATTTCACTAGAACCATTCTTTAAAATGTTATTGCTATGATCATATAAACAGAATACTTGAAACTTAAGTGCTGTTTGGTCACTATATTCGAAAGCATTCAAAAATTCTCCCAGGAACCAGGGAAGAGCCTCAAGTGTTTGAATGCAGTTGGCTCCACAGGATAACCATGATGGATACAAAGCTGTGCTGCAGCCCAGCTTATGTTCCAAGCATAGCAAGGGTACAAGTTTCATTACAGGTTTGGAAAACATATGATGGCCAATTAATGGAGTTCGCTCAGGAACTGCAAAAGTCAGAGAAGTGCAGCCAGCCCTGTAACTGATAAAACCTGATGTTTTATAAAGCTCTAGACTCAAAACTCATTTCCCTCAAGGGCTGACTTCACCATAAATGTGTAGTAAACACATACCCACCCTTCTGAGTTCAGCTGCATCAATATTCAAAAGCCATTTCTGCTTTAAGGTATCTTCAATGTCTTTTCCTGTATTTATTTCATTCAAAGGCTATTACAGATATCTAGCTTAAGTTGGTGTGATCTAAAATAGCAATTTTAGTCATGATTACTAGTGATACTAACACTTTCTAAGGAAGCTACCTATAAATTTTAATCCTTGAAAGCTTGGCAGATACAGTTATGAGCTGGCAGAGTATCTGGGAAAATGGATAGGATGGCACATATAAATTCAAGGGGGGGAAAAAATGTTTGTGTGTTGGAGGAATCACTAAAAGTAAGTGTCAAAACAAGTAAAGCCTAAGTAGTGTCACTTGCATAGGCTGTGATGGGAAAGAAGAAGAAAACAACCCATATGGCAGAAATAAAAAAGTTTGCCTCCTAGAAAACAAAATCGTTTAAGTCTCAAGTTACTTCCAGAACAACACTTTGGCTGGACTGCATTCAAGCTAAATACTAAAATCCATACAACATCAGAGCTTACTATTGAAAGAGACATAATGTAAGTGGCAAGCAGTGAAAATTAAGTCTGTGGAGTGGAATTATCAAATAGCATAACTGAACACTGCTAAAGGACATAAAGTTACAAGGCTATTTTATTTACATCTGCTGCATTTAATCACAAATAAACTACGTGTTTACCAAAACTTCCTGGCACTGGGAACATGAACTTCTGTGCTTTTCCAGCACGACTGAAACACTTTGTCTGTTCTAGAGGAGCTTTATTTTGTGAGACCTGCCAGTTCTGCCCCTGTTCTGATAAGACATTTTTCCTGTAAGAAGTGTAGTCTTATTTTCAGACAAAGTCTTGAAATATCTGACATATTGCTTTGGGAAGCACCAGTCTCTAAAGAAGTAACATGGCACATGATCACATGCAAAATTAAACTGGGGGAGTTTTGGCTTCAACTACACTAAGGTTTACCTCACAGAACGCTTGCAGAATTTGAGAGTCAGCTGAGGCAGAGTTAAGTTACTGTGCCTATATGAGGCACATCAAATTAAAAGGAAAACTCTGTGTTGCTATCAATTCCTACTACACAATGAATTGCTGAAAGGGTAGGAGAAGGACCTATTAAAGTCATGGCAATTTGCCTTCTTTATAGCACAGGAGAGATATTAAAATTACTGCAATGCATTTGTCATGATAAGTAGTAGGATTTTATTTTAGTTTTGTCATTTTAAAGGTTTGGTCCATATTGCTTTATCAAGCTTCTCTCTGACTCATCACACTGCTGTTTGCAATCTGCATACATGGGCCCTTAAAAACCAGAAAACCCTGATTGTTTACATTGGGCTTGCTAATTCCGTTTCTGAGAAGTGTTCACAATGGCTCTTGCTCCACACCATGGTAGTTGTGGGAAAGGGGGGACAACAGCAACGAGTTCTGAAACCTTCACTTCCTCCTGATTCCCGTGTGCTGTGCTGAGCAGCTCTGCTGTTTCCGTAGGGTGCACCTGGAACCTGCTTTTCTGACCGTGGACCTTCTGAGAGATGTGGAATATCATTAACAACCTCAACCCGTGCTTGGTTACCCACACAAGCAGGGAAAGTTCTGTTCTGTCTTTATATAAGGCAAAAGCATTCAAGTTTTCTCTTTGGTGAAGACCTTGCTGTGATTACCTGTGATGGTCTCATCCCACAAGTAATACACATACAATTCATTCCTACAAGCATTTGGAGAAAGACAGTGGTGGGGTTATATACTTTATACAAACAGTTCTGTAACACATACTCCATAGTTCATTTTATCAGTTGAATGTGTACTTAAGTCCATAAAACAGTACCTGGGTCATGTCTCAAAGATTGCCTCACTGCTTCCTCTCTCCCCTCCCACACTTCCATGGCCAGATCTGTGGACAGAACAATTTTTGCCATTTTGCTTACAGATCAGATTTCTCTCAAAAACCTGTCTCCAGCTTACATAAGTATTAAGAGAAAGAAGAGCTACTCACAGAAGTGCTGCTCTTAAACGTCAAGTTAAAGTAGAAATCACAGCTCATAATATTTGGATGGTGATATTATAAGATTCCCTACTGCTCTCAGAGCCACTTGACTCAATTCAGAGTAAGTTCAGGCTTGTCTTTTGTGAAGTATTAAACCACCACAAGAGAATACCTGTTTTATCCTTGTAACCCTAATAAAAGTTATTTAATGCTGAATCCCTTCATGTTTTTATCACTGATTAATTCTGTGTTTCTGTTTTAAGATATTAACTCATTAATAATGTTTTCGGTCCATAAATTAACATTAATGGTAAATGCATGTAATATGTTCCCTTTTCTAAATATCTTCTGTCCTGAAAGTGACTGTTTTAGTTGTGAGCAGTTTTCTTATCTGAAACACTCTTTCTAGAACCAACTTGGTTTTCGAAGTTAACTCACTTTCCCTGAGTGACCTTCCAAAATCATTTAGACAGCAATGTACAGTCATAAATCAAAATTCCCAAAATCACACTAAAAGGAACATTTTTTTTCCTAATGTCAAGAAGCCATAAGCTCCTGAGCAATAAAGTGATTCATAATAATCATTCATGATAATGCTTTGAGGAAATACAGAGCATTAAAATACACTCAACACATGGCAGCTATGCTTTCCAGAAATAAAATTCAAAGTCGTAAGGTCCAGCTACTACATATGGTAAGTTTGTAACAGCTGCAGCTCAAGCCAGAACAACTATATCTTCCCTCTCTATATTTATTTTAATAAGCTTTCTTTTTCCAAACTGACTTTATGGGAATTTATGCCTAATGTTTGTGCTGCAGAACAGTAATCAGGGGAGGCAAGGAAATGTGAAGAGGCAAGAGAAGAGGAGCCACCCTTCTTTCCACGTGTTACTACTCACAATATGAAGAAGCTGTACCTATTTCATTATAAAATATATAATATTTTCTGAGCATGAACAGTTGGAAGCAGCAAGTTGGAAATACAGAACAGTATCTACTACAGTACAAAAACCAGTGAATGCCATGACCCAAGTAATCCCTGAAGCAGCTCAACTAATCAAATGAAACAGTCAAAAAAAAGCTAAGTTTCATATACCTCTAATTTCAGTGTCAGTTTCTAAAATGGTAAAATCTTATAATAAACACATCAAAACATAACCCAGAGATGTTTTAGTAATGATGTTTGGCCTTATCTAACCTTAGATTCCTTATCTATATTAAATTAACTCCTGTCTTTGCAGTATGGGGAAAAAGAGTTCCCCGGTATACAACTACAACAGAAAACATGACTGCACATGGTTCCCATTGCCATGGTCATTCTCAAACAGGCAGTGCCTACTAAAAGCAGGACAAAATAACACAGAAGATTTTGCACTAGTCTCTTCTCAGATAAAGCAGGTGAAAACCAGAAAAAGCAGGTCTCTTCTCCTGCAAATAATTCCAACCTACTCTTTTTATTACAAGTTTTTTTCATCTTCACAAGAAAGAACAGCCAATTCAGCAACTTGAAAGGTGACTTGTACCATTCCAACACAGTCTACTTTATAAAAGTCTGCAGAGTATTGCAGTGGCTGCTTACATTATATAGAAGAGTACCTGCAGTTGCTCCTCCCAGGAGTACAAACACCAACAAATTTGAACAAAAGGAGATATCTGCAAATTAAACCCGGAAAACACAGGCACACGTATAGAAAAGGACAGTAAATTTGAGACCATTTTACATAAAACAGTTTCTGTCACAAGCATATCTACTCCTCAAATTGTTAAGTAATAAATCACATGAAAACAACACAAAGTACCTGATGTCAGGGGAGAGCTCACACAGCAGATGGATAAACTAAACCTGTGTGAACAGCAGTAGAAAAATTCATGTATAGAGAATGTTGGTGAGGATATAACTCTGCTAGATGAAATGGGGGATAGGGGGAGGCCTTCTCTGTTTATCTTGGGGTTTTGTTTGTAACCAACCAAGGTAAAACATCCAAGTTTAAGAGACCAAAAACAAATGCCACTGTTTTCCTTCAGTCTTTTCATCACTTTCAGATCAGAAGCTGTCAAAACAATCTCTTTCACAATGCCAGGCTGCACTACTCAATGTAACAAATATATATGAAGTAAACACGTAAGGCTGCACCTCAACAGAAAATCCTTGGGATGATTATGCTTCCTTTATCCAAAAGGAGGAACTACCTGTGAAGTCACAGCATTATGTCCCGTTGGCTTTCTTGTGGCAGGAACTCAGATCATCTCAC